AAGAGCCAGGGTAAGGCTTCAAAATAACGAAAAATTTCATATCTCATGGGGGATGGCTAAGAAGAAGAAGAAGAACAAGAAGAAGAAGAAGAAGAAGAAGGACTATGGTTTGAGACTTTTGATTAACCAACATATAAGAATTCATAAAAATTAATGGAAACCAACATATTGCTTTTTACAAATATAACTTGACGTTCTATAATGATTAAACTCGGACATTCAGCTGCAGGTAAATGTTAAACAAACAATTTAAATTCTCCAAACAGCCTAAGCTGAAACAATGCCTAGAATTATTTTGTAAAAGAAAAATCCGCCCACATTCTGCAGCTAGACACCTCCGAGCATTATCTGGGCCAGCCATCTGGCACACCGGCAACACATGCAGGGCACACTGCCACATACGATTACTGCTGAATGCCGGAGTGAGGGTGTAATGTGAGAGAGATTTGTTTTAAATTCTGGCCTCGGATTTGATAAAAATCTGACATAACTATAATACTCAGGGGGAAGGAGAAAGAGGCACCAGTGGGTTGCCAGAGAGGAGGCCGTCCCTGGATGTTTGTATCTGTTATCTACATCTTTATTTGATGCTGGGATTTTTGATTGCTATTGTAACGTTTCTTAAATTCAGCCGAATACACATGAAGATTTCTCCGTGATTTTCTTCATGTGCCGTCCCATAAGTGTAGGCCAGGGCTATTCAACTGGCGGCCCGCGAGTCGATTTCGGTCCGCAGAGGCCTAGCAAGTGGCCCGCCGATTTTTCCCAGTTGTATTATATTAATTATATTCCTACGCTGGCGTTTCGGCTCCTGAGTAAATATCGGTGAATGGCCTTGCTGTGGACGGTCATGTTCCCCTCTCTTACACGCTCAGCACAATCACCGATCAGGCCAGTGCTCTTGTCTTGTCCCATCTATAAGGCTAAGCTATCCAAGTAATCATTTTGCGCCTTTTTCCCTGTTCTCGCAAAACTTCCTTTCTGACAACTTGGAGAATTTTGAAGACATTAACTCTCTCTCTCTCTCTCTCTCTCTCTCTCTCTCTCTCTCTCTCTCTCTCTCTCTATGTAACAATTAACGAATCCGAGGCAAATGAATGGAAACCTTTGAACAGGGCAGTCTAGTATGTATAGCGTATAGTTTATGGGGAGTTAACTCTTCAGGGATGAAAAAAGAAATGTTTTTGTAAAAAACAAATTGTGTTATCGATTGCTCAGATCGAAACAACCAGAATGAAATCAACACCACTGGTGTCCAGCCAACAGTTCTGTCCAACCATAATGTCGCAAGTATTTTAAATTCTACTTAGAGAAGTAGTTGGATTCAAATCCAAATGTTAGCAATATCCTTATCCTGTATATTTTCTGTTTCACGATTTGTCTATAACTCTGTGTTTTACAGATTTATATATTTTTTGTCAGATTGAAGTAATGAATGGATAAATTAAATGCTTGCACTTTGGACACTCCCACACGTGTTCAGTCTCTGTATTCAATGGCGAATAGCACATTTCAAGGATGATGGTGCCACGGAAGTGTTTTTCTTGTGGCGGTTTGAATGTCGTCAGATGTGTGTTCTACATTCTCTTTCTTCACGAATTTTCTCTTTACGTAGGTGCACATCTCATGCTTGTCACTCATGTACTGTTTTTACTGGCGGTAGGGACAATAGTGGTGTGGTATTGATTGTATAATAGATTTGGACTCATTAAAAATACATTTATATAGTTTTTACTACATTTCGTTGTCTGTGGCTTAAACATTGCGAACCGCTTTGTAATGCCGAGGTGCTGGGTTCGATCTCAGCTGCGGGCCATTTGACTGCAGACCGCCTTGCATGGATTTCGGCAGTGGTATCGAGAGTCGACCGTTGAGTAGAAACTACTATTTAACGTAAAATTGCATAGTAAAATCACAAACAGACACACACACACCCATACACAATGGGGCTGGTTCTGCAAGACCACACACACACACACACACACACACACATCTTTAAGCAGCCATTTAAAAAGGGAGAATATTGGTGTGAAAGAAGGAGGTTGCAAAAGAAAACCCAGCATTTTTTTTTTTTTTGTTGTATTTCTAGACAAATTTTATATTCAGTAGTTTGCCACTGCTTACTAAACACTCATTTCCCAGAGCCAGTGTCGATTCATACGCAAGACATACCGTGCGCAGCTGGGATCGAACCTGGCGTGCCGAAATTACGAAGCGCTTTCGCAACGCCTAAGACACAGACTATTTATGTTAAGTTTATGGTAGTTTGGGATATAGACATAATATTGATATGAAGCTTGTGGCAGATTTTTGTTTATAAGGAAAATATTTGTGCGACTAATGCTCTGAAACTGGAGATATAGGAAGTACTTACACCATGGAGTTTGTAGTAGAGTCCACAGGCATTGCAGACTGGTTCTCCCTCGTTGCTGCGTCGCCACAGGGTTGTGGTGGTTGTGTGGCAGTTAGCGCAGGACAGCCCCACACGCCTGGAGGCAGACTGGGGACAGAACATCTGCTATAGTTCATATAATTGAAGAACTAGGGACATTACATCTGGTATAGTTCATATAATTGAAGAACTAGGGACAGAACATTTGTTTTAATTCACATAACTGAAGAACTAAGGACGGAACATCCGTTATAATTCACATAACTGAAGAGCTAGGGACAGATCATTTGTTATAATTCACATAACTGAAGAACGAGGGGCAGAACATCTGTAATAGTTTACATAACTAAAGAACTAGGGACAGAACAGCTGTTGTAGTTCAAATAAATGAAGAACAATAGACAGAATGGCTGTTGGGAATAATATACACAAAGAACTGAGGGCAGACCAGTAATTCAAGATAATATAAATGAAGAACTAGGAAAATAAAAACAGTTTTTATTAATATAAATAAAGGACTTGTGATAAAACAACTGCTAATGTTCATACAAATGAAGAAAATGACAGCTTCCATAGCAACTATTAAGCCAATAACTGCGGACAGAACAGCTGTTGTAGATGATATAAACAGAGACATGTGGACATTACATTTATATAGTAAATATTAAATCAAGGAATGTGGTCTGTACAACTGTCGTAGACAATTTAAATAAAGGGTTTGTGAGCATGACTTTATATACTACATTAATACTGAGAATTGTAGACAGAGCAGCTCTTATAAATATCATAAACAAAGGACTACAAACAGAACAGCGTTCGCATATCATATAAATTATTGACGTAAATGACGAACTTAAAGGAAAAACTGTTATGATGATATAAACGAAGAACTATAGGCAAAATTCATATGGATAAAAAAGATGTGTAGACATAAGATAATTTCTTCTTCTTCTTCTTCTTCTTCTTTTTCTTCTTCTGTTTCTACATTCTCTTTCTCTTTTTATAGACCAATCGGCACAAGATGGGTGATGTGGTCAGCATCACACCAGCTGCTTTCACTTCCCGAGATTGCTCCTGGTACCCACTCAAGCCTGGGTCGACCTGGGAGTCAAGGTCATTTTTAAAAAAAAAGTCAGACTCCGTTAGGGAGCGAACCCGTGACCTTCCAATTCACACGCGAGCGTCTAAAGCGACTCACCCACTCCCTTGTGGATAGAGTTTTTAATCTCTCTGCCATCTGACATGTTCTCAGTATGAACCAGTAGTTTTAGATATAACAAAACATGACTGTTTTAAAAGGTATATTGGCCGAACCGCTCCTATCGTTAATATGAATGTCACATGTTGAAAGAGCAGCTGGCCTTGTCATTATATGTCATGTAATGTACGTTAAATGTCAGCATATGAGGTATTATGATAAAGCTACGACGAAGCACAACACACAGACTCACCAGTCGTCTCTGAGGCTTGATTAGAGGCCGATTGAGACCGTTCATCTTATGGTAGAGTCCACAAGCGTTGCACAGATAGTGTCCAGTGCCGTCCCGGCGCCAGAGTGGTGTAGAGATAGAGCCACAGTTGACGCACTCCCTGCCCTCCAGGTCGGCCCAGTACTCTTGACCATCTGTGAAGGGAAGGTAAAGTATCAGCACACGTTAGGTATATAGGTAGATGCCTTTGAGATGTGAGTAAACGTCATCATGCACACACTTCGACAGTGCACTTGAGGATGATGATGATAATGATGATGATGACAACGTCTTGGATACCGTTTTGAGGGCTGGATCACGGATCCTATCAGCGACAGAAACAGGCAAAACGGGATAATGGAAAACGAAATATATAAGAGAAAATATTCAAAAATGGACAATCATCAACAAAGACACAATGAACGGGATGGTGACAGAGATTCCAGCCTGAATAAAGTTAAAGGTTAACTTTTGTCGTTCACAGGACGTTGCAGAACTAGCCCCGGCATTTTTTTTTGGGGGGGGGGGGGGTAATTTTACGTTGGCAAGGCGGTCTGTTGTCACATCACACTCATCTGGAAAAGAACCTAGCACCGTCATAATTACAAGGCGATTTCGCAAGGTCTAAGTCACAGATGGCGACCGGTGAGAGCTGGTAGTTTTCATGACAACCCTCAGAATGTACACACTGAGGCTACTAATCTGGCAACGGACCTCAGTCCCCGACAACAGAAATACTAACATCCAGGCAGACATCAGTAAGTACAGGTGCTGCATTGGTAACAGTCAAATAGAAATCTGTAGACAGACAGACGGACGAATAGACTCATCAATAGGCAGCTATATAAACAATTAAACAGACACACACACGGACAGACAGATGGACATATGGGCAGACTGATGTACATACGGATCAATTGATGGATACATAGACAGGCTTGGGGACTGGCAGACTGATAATAATATAAAGGCAGGCAGACATATAGACAGCTATATAGACATACATACAGATAAAGTCATAGACTGCGTTGAGCCGATAGGCGGGCAGCGTGCAAAAGAACAGACGGACAGACAGATTTGCTACAGACGGACAGACAGATTTGCCTACAGACGGACAGACAGATTTGCCTACAGACTGACAGACAGATTTGCCTACAGACGGACAGACAGATTTGCCTACAGACGGACGAACGACAGACAGATTGACTGCCAGACCGTATCACTTAAAACTGTTAACTGTGAGAGTCTACCGGAAGTACCCAACTGTTGTGGACGTTACAACCTCCTTTTCCCACAACTAATGACACGACACGTTCCGTAGCAACCCACGGGTGCGTGAATCCAACAAAGGCTGTAAACTCCCAAACTGTACCCCAAGGGACCTATCCATTGTTTCTTCTTCTTTTGATGACGAAATAGTCAGAGCGCCACAGTGCTCACCTGCTGCTTGTTGTGGGTCCCTAGGAGAACCGCAGCTGGACAGTACAAACGTCTGCAGTCTGTCCACAGCCCTTGATGTCCGAGAGTTGCTGCGTCATTACTTTTGTGTCCAAAGACATTGGCTAGTGGATGTTCTTCAGCTTCATCAGTCTTGACGCGTACATTGCACTTGATTCCTCCGTGCATTAATTCATTCGTTTAATCAATTAGATGTCCATGCCCTGTGAGCAGTTCCACAAAAAGAGAAAGAAGAATACTCAGGGCCGCCTCTACAATAAAGGATGACCTGCTATGGATCACGCTATGGTTCTCATCCTAACTGTACACTGTGATAGTGCTGATCGTCATCTTGAGTTATTCTCCCATGTGTATCGCTGTATACCTCTAGCTCGCTTGTCTTAAAACGTTTCTTTCAGTGTTACACCCGTATGGGTTTATGGCCCTCGTTGTGAGGGAAAAATAGAATAGACCAACTGCCTCTTAACAAGCATGTCATAAGAGTCCTTCAAAGTCAAAGTGCGTCTGCCTGAGAGGCTAGGAATCAACAGTCCGGATACGTTAAGTAGATTTATAAACGGATGTGCAGGCAAAACTCAGGCTGTGGACCATAACTAAGTCCAGACGTGGATGATAGACTAGAATCTTCTGTCGGAGTTTACAGCCGGTGAGCGCGAGAAAGAAAAAGACCAGAGTGATATGTCTTTTAATGAAGCATTAATATATATATATATATATATATATATATATATATATATATATATATATATATATATATATATAATATCTTTCTTGTTTGTTTCTGTAAGTACCTCTATTTATCCCAGCCCCAATGCAGATGCCCAGCTTTTCTATACATCTTCCTCTCTGACCAGTGTTTCCACCCTATGAACGTTGTAGGCATATAGTGATACTTTCTGATCTGTTAAGACCAGTCGTTAGTCGATGGATGATGTGGATAATATGAAACCAACCAGTGAAAGCTTCGAAAAGAATAGCCTAACGGCGCTGCCTGGACAAAATTTGGACTTAAAAATCTACCTAAAGTAGTTCAGTATCCTCCCTTGTCGATGCTATGGAGTTCGTACACTTTTCTGAGAATTTTAGGACTCAGGTTTCAGTTAGAAGTATAACGAAGCACACTGGGGCTGCTAATCTTGTGACATTATGTTGATCCTTTGTTTAAACCTGCAAACCTTTAAAGTTGTTTACACCAATCGTTACTTGATGGGCGATGTGGCCAATATCAAACCGGTCAGTGATCTCTTTAAGGTTAAGACCAATCGTTACTTGATGGTCGATGTGGCCAATATTAAATCTTTCACTTGTATTTCCCACATTTCCTGGCACTGGTTTTCTGACTGGATCAGTTTGAGAGCTCAGGGTCCAAACCGCTCGGCCACCTAATCACGAATGAGTGTGAGAGTCAACAGCCAGGGCAGTATTCCTGACCGCATCCACTTAGACAACCGATCTAGTCTGCAAAACAAGTCTTTGAGGACGTGGCTTTCTCGAATGGGAACCTAATCTCTCGACTGACCTCTCCTGTCAACCACTGTTGATCCTATGAAGTCACTTACAAAGACTTTCTGACGACAGCCACCTTAAACCCGACTGTCCAAAAAACTCGCCGGTATGGTACCACGAGGAACTGTGGCTTCCAAATGAGAATCCAGGGTTTTACTAACCTTTCGACTTATCATCGACAACTAGGACTGCAAAAATCACCAACCATAGAAGAATCCCGGCGACAGCCACCTTGAAAAACGATCCAGTCTGGAAAACTCGCCAAGAAAACATAAACATTCCAGCGAATATCTGCGACGCGTGCACCCGCTAGTCGGCGCTGTACTGTCTCTCTGACACCAGGGGCCGCCACTCGTCGCTGACGACCATGTTTGTTTTCTCTGGTAATAATATTATGAAAGTGATGACTGCGACGCGAAATGAAACGAAGTTACCAGAAATCGAGAAACAAACAGATTCAAAAATGAAGACTGGATGAAGGTACTTCCATGAAAAATGGGCACATCCGGAAAGTTTTAATGTATGATTCGTTGCAACGTGATGACAGGCGTAAAGTGTTTTCACAAAACTGTGTATGGAGCGCAGATTATGAGAAGATTCGTAGATATGTTTAGTGTGTGCTGCAAAACATGGTAGTCGAAACGTGAGGTAGTATATGAGTCTCGCAATTACCTG